TTTAAGGCTATAGATTTAACCTTTTTCGGTTAAGATATGGTGAGCTCATAGGTTTGAGGTGATCCTACAAGTTCATCTATCTTAATAGTATCTAAGTCTTTACTCTCTTGAATAGCTGTAATCTTAGGTCTAAACCTCTCAGGTAAGGATCTAAGGACTTTTCGAACTATTTTGGATTCAGGGATCTTTTCACCTAGATTGAAACTAGAGTTCAATATGTATTCAACTTTGCATAAAATTCATCGAATAATTAATTTCCTTCATTCTAATATCTTCAAACCTAGAGGTCAATATCTATAGCTTGGAGTTTTTAACGGTTTTAGTTCCCTCATATATGGTCTCTAAAATATCCCGAACTTCTTTCGCGATTTCACACATCGATACTCTCCTAAACTCTTCAGCAGAGACATGCATAAACATGGCATGAAGCCCTTTACTATTCCAATTGCACTTAGCTAGTTCATCATTGGTCCAAAGAAAAATGTCAGTAGGAGTCACTACACCTGAAACAGTAGATGAAGGGAGTGGTCCAACCATTTTGCACACTAATCCAAATCCGCTCATCTAGAGACTTAAGGAATGTTCTCATTCTAACCTTCCAATATGCACAATTGATTCCTTAAAAAATAGAGGCACGTAAAGCGACTGATTCATCTAGATTAAATATGGGCCAGGAATCGAAATGAGGCTCTAATACCAATTGAAATAATGAGATTTGACCCAATTAACACATAAAAGGGGGTGAATAGGTGTTTATGTGGAATTTAAATTTACCAATTAATAATAGCAACAAGTCACAGTTATTAATTAACCCAGATGAATTAACATGAATAACTATCATATGTTGAATTACTGTAGTCAATAAAGTACTGAAAAAATAAATAACAATTGAAAATTGATAACGGAGAAAACCCGTAACTGGGTAAAAACTCCGGGCCGCCCAATCCACTATACATGAATTAACTTATAGTACTGTCAGACTCGACTGATTCTAGTACTTTCTGATCTCCTAATTGTAATCACCAAAGCCTTCTTAGATTACGTGCTCATGCAGCAACTCACGGCCTTCTAAATTCGTCTATCTCATGTGGATTAACGACAACACCTTGTTTTCCAATGACCAGAAACTCCGATCACTTTCTTTGATCTTCAGAACTTTGACAAATATTGTGGAAGTATGTGTTTTGGTGTTTGGTTTAAGTGAGGATGATGTTTTTCAGAGCAATGATCAAAGCAAAATGATGGTTGAACTCTAACAATGATATGGAAGATGCAAAACAATGTTTCTCTCAATATTCAACCTATAAGTTTCGTATGGATGGCACTCATATTTATAGTGAAGAGGTTTTGGGTAGTATAGGCTGGATAAAAGTCTTGAAAAATGCAAATTAGGTTTTTTCAAAAAACATTGTCACTTGAGCGAGAGCTCAACGATAAGCGAGCGATGGTGTCGTGCTCGAGCGAAGACTAAGCGACAGGCAGGTGACGCAACTTCTGTTTTTATCACTCGAACAATAGTTGGGCAATAGGCTAGCGAAATTGTGGCAACGTTTACTCCTTTGTTTCATACTCGAATCCTAGAACTTCTAACTTACTACTTGATCCTTTGACTTTTCAAAATTCTGTCACAACAATAGCTTTGTCAAAAGATTGCCAACAACTTCAAATTCTAACAATTGCCTGCTTCATTTACATCCTTTAGAGACACGATCTTGTATAGTCATGATACTCTCACCAATAAAGATGTGTATGATGCTTTATTTTCAAAGAAGAAGATAAAGATTTGGCTGGATTGAAGCTAGAGATGGAAGGACTTTTTGTTCATGGTGGTAACGAAAGGGGCAAATCGAAATCTAATTTCAGTAATCAAATTTATTTTTATTGCAAGAAGAAATATGAAGACAATTAGATACTTCAGGCGAAGCTGATGTGGCGAGGACTATTTAAGTGATAGGGATCTTCTGACTACTTCTAACAGTAAATCTAAATCGACAAGGATTGGATTTTGGACTCAACTTGTGCTTTTCATATGTGTCCTAATCGGGATTTATTTTTAACATATGAAACAGTTTCGAAAGGTGTCATGGTCATGGGATACAACACACTTTGTTGGTAGCTGATATTGGTAGATTCAGACTTAAACTATTGGATGGGACATTTAGAGCAGTTGATCGTGTTCGACATGTTCTAAATTTGAAGAAAAGTCTCATCTTATTGAGTACTTTTGATTCAAAAAAGTACGAGTTCATTGGTGGAGGTGGATGTGGAGTTTTGAAGGTTTGCAAAGGTGTTCGGTTGTATTGGAGCGGTTGAGAAAGTCTCAATTATACATCTTTCAAGGTCGTGCAGAATCGTTGAAGATTAATCAGCAAAAGTTTAGTATTGTTGTGGATATTTAGTTTGGTACAGTACCGTTGGGATTTAGAGTAGGGTCTGGGTTGAAGAATACATATTAATCGAATTCAAAAGATATAGGTAATGTCGCTTTGCTACCTTCACCTGCGGTGCCATGTTATTCAATTATTAGGGATAGACCTATTGGAGAAAGGTACTCGAGAGATGATTTTGTTGTGCGTGCTTCAAGTGTATTTGAAGTTGTTCAGTTTACTAAGGGGCTTTTTATAAAAGCATTTAGCATTGATTCTTTTTTAGGGTGTATTTTGGCGCTGTTTGATAAATTTTAAATTATTTGTGATTTTGGGAACTCAAGGTAATTCAGCGGAGTAGTACTTGGATTCATGTATTCTAGTTAGATATCGTGAAAGAAGTGGAGTTTTTTGGTTCATTATAGAAGTTTGATTATTGTTGAAGAGTTCTTTTATTCGATGCAGTCGAATGTTTTCTCCAGGTAGAGAAATTTTTGAAATCTTGTTCGTTTCATTAAAATTTGTGTTAAGGTGGATATTGTTGGATTTTGTAACCCAAATTTGGACTAGGGTTAGTGTTGTTTAGAGTATTTGGCTTGAAAATGTCAAATAGGTTCCAAGGAAGAAAAACGGAGTTGACGGCACTCGCCTATCCGCCCGCCTAACACTCGAACTGCGGGATAGATTTTTTAGCAGGGAGTTGCTGCTCGCCTAACTCCTGCTTGGCCCTCGAGTGCCGAAGCATTCTAGAATTTTCCTTGTTTTTTCTTTACACATGTTATTGCCATAGTTTCCATCTTTAGGACTATTTCTAGGTTTTGGCATGTACCACTATAAATAGACTTTTCTTACAAGTTCTGTATTATTGAAAGTTAGAATCATTGTGTAGAAACATAATTATTTTATTCTCTCTCAATTATAGTTGTTGAATAAAATCTACAATTCCTCTCTCAAATTAAATTTTTTTATTTGTGTGGTGTGATTAATATTTCATATCGTGCCATGTAACCTTATTGGATTTATCATAACTTTAGTCAGATTTGTCAATAAAAACAAATGGAATTCGTGACTTCTATTGACCAAAATATGATTTCTATCAAGCGTGCTATTAGATGTAAATCGTAAAGATCGAGTTCTTTATGAGTAAATATTTCTCTACGGTGGAAAATGGTTGGGACTCCACGAATGAATTTAAGACACGTAACTTTTCCGTCCACCACGTGATATTTTTGTTATTTTGTATTGATAGATCTGACTACAATGACTAGTAATGTAAAAAATTACAAGTTTAGCATTAACAGAGAAATTTTTTAAATAAAATAAGTTGATTGCATGCCCTAAAAGTTTTTTTTATCCCGTCTTTAAAAATGAATTATTTGAAAAGTTCTTAGATCGGTTTTCCTCATTTTGAACTTATTTTTTATTGATAAATATGTAAATAAGTAAATTTTTATTCCTACTTATTTATTATTATTATTATTATTATTTTGTAATAAATATGTCATCTTCTTGCCGCTAGTTATGTGTATACGATGGATTATGCATTTTGTAAAGACTACGGAGATCGAATAAAAAATCAAGAAGGCATTTTTATGGTTGACTTTACATTTATTACAACCTTGCTTCATCTCTTTTGTAGACTTAACGCTGTGAGAAGTGGCATCATCTCTTTTGTAGACTTAAAATTGATTGATATTTACAAGAGCAATGATGTCGTATTTATATGTACAGATGGCAAATTAAATTCAAGTGGTATGATGTGGTTTTTAAGAATATATAAATTGAATGAAAGGACATTGAATAATTTATGCCGTTGATTTCAAATATATTGCAAACTAAGATTGATTTATTATCATTTGTCATCGTCTCAACAAATGATCAAGCTCTTAACATTTTATTTTAGTGCATTTATGATAGTATCACTCCTCTAATAGTCAAACTTTAAGAGCGCATTTAGCCAAGGTTACACATTTTCTTGAGAGTATTTAAGTGTGTTTTCAAATAGTATTTTTATTGATCGAATTATCTTATTTGTTCGATGGGCCCTGCCTCATGGTGGTGTGAGCTAAGCTCTCGCAAATTGGCCCATCGAACAAATGAGTAGCTCGGGACCTCTAGGCCATTTCTAACATGAGAAATGATACATGTACAAGGAGATTTGTATTGACAGCATGACAGATACACAAGTAGTGTGCATTTGTAGATGGATTTGAAAAAATCGATTTCCATGTCTATTGACAGATGCACGCTATACGTACACCTATCAAGCTATCTATACACGGGATTTTTTCAAATTCATCGCCATACCCATGTACAGATAGTAAAATTCTTAACACCTATTCATTTGTCATTTTTAACACCTATATATTCATTGGTTTGGTTACGAGGCGTACTCATTGGGCCGACAATTGGACCCGGTTCGGCTGCCTGATGGGGAGTTAAATTCGAGAATTCAAATGGTCGAAGAACAAGTGGTGGCCAGGAGGAGCAGAAAATTTGCCCCTACTATCGAATTCCAGCTGAAAAACAACAATTTGTTATCAACAAAATCCAATCTCAATTTCGTAACACAATCATTTTGTCAAATTGGATTGTGGGTGGTGAATTTTTCTGTTAATTGAGTCCAGCAACAGAATGTGCACGGGCTCAGTTTCGGGTTCGGACTCGGGTACAAACGGATGGAGCAGGGCCCGGGGAGTGGTGCTGAAGACTCTGGTGCTAATAGGCGGCGCGTTGTGGCTGAAGCGAATGACCAAGTCCACCACGCGCTGGGACCACACTCGCATTGTCGCTGAGTCACTCGCCGGTGAAAAGGTTACTTACCTTTTTGCTGTTTTACTATTATTGTTTACAATTTTATATAATTTGAGGAGTAATTTTAGTTTTTGATCAGTGGAATTATTTAATCATTGATAGTTTTCAAGGGAGCAAGCGTCGAGAGACCCGGATAATTTCTTCAATTTAAGGTAATTTCGTTTTCCAATCCTGAATTTTACTGTTAAATGGTTTATGCTTCTCTGTGTAAATGCATAATTCATTTAGTAGTAGCAGTAATAATACTAAGTGCAACCACAACTTCAGCAATTAACTAATTGATTGTTATGAAAAGAATTAATAAATGAGCTGCATCTTACCTTTTTGGCTGATTTGTCGAACAAAGGATGATGGTTATGGTTGTTTATTTTCCTTCTGATATGGAGAAATTTTTTGAAGCTCCATAGTTTGAAATTTATTGATTCAATGTATGGCAGCATCAAGTTGGCACTAATTATTTCCTGTTACAATTATGTTGCTTCATTCTGTACTGCTAAGTGCAGCATGACTCCTTTTGAAATGTTGTTTTTCTAATAGACTAATTACTTTGTGAATGTGAACTAAATGCGTTAAGGAATCCATGTCATCCTTAGTCTTTCTGGTTCAGAACTTGTTGAATTAATGTTCTTATTGTATCTTTTTCTATAGATGGCTTTCATGCCCTGCAGCAGAGATGGTAGATGGTTCCAAGGTTTTGTATTTTGAACAGGTCAGATTTTGGCTAACTATCTGAAATAAGTTTTCTTTTTCCATCAATTCACTTTGTACTGGCAAAAGATTGAGCTTGTTATGGAATTCTCATGTGGGCAGGCATTCTGGAGAACTCCTCTTAAGCCATTTCGGCAGGTACATTTAAATTCTATCATTTGCCCTGCCCAATGCAATAGCTATAAATTATAACTTATTAACATAAACCTATACTGCTCTGTTTGGATTTTGATTTTAGTGAGTGCTCTTTCATTCTTGATTTTCTTGGTCTGGAAATGGAAAGGCAGTTTCTCACTTTCTCAATTGTTTTTTCTCTTATTCAGTCCTCTATTTATATGCTTAATACTCAGCGAGAAAATATTGTATCGTTCACATTGATTATTATTTGTCTTGTATTTGTCAACTGCTCTTCAACTTATTTAAAATTCTAACGGCTATCTGGATGCAGAGATTTTTCCTGGTAAAGCCTTGCCCGAAGGAGATGAAGTGTGATGTTGAGGTTAGTTTTATGCTTATTTTCGAAATTGCTAGTATACCTAGTATTGCATTGTATTGTGATGCATGAATGCAAAAATTTATAGCAGGTTCCAATTGGAAGATATATGTCCTACAAATAAGCTGGAAAAATAAGTTTTTATTTGATTTTTTTCATGGCTATATATCAGTTGTGTGAAGGATTTTGGTTGTGTGCAATGGTTTGTTCTTCTAACTAGTAGCACTATCAAATGGAGTTGGAAGTTAATTAGGAATTAGGCTTTTAGTTGGTTGTATTTATTTAGCCTTTGTTGAGGTTTCATTTTCTTTTGCTTAAATTTTACTTTTTAAAAAATGAATTATGGATAAGTGGGTAGTACTTGTGCGTTCTACGGAAGGTTTGGTTAAATTAATATTTGACTTTGAAAAGTAACTTTGTAGTAAAAGAAATGTAACCCACACAAAGGCTTATATGTATGAATGCCTTATTGGTATTTACCGGGTGGAAAATCAGTAAGAAAATAAAGGTAATACTACTAGATCATGATTATGAGGATCATTCATGACCCTTTTGTTATTGATTGTGATGCATCCGTACACCGTTGTGGCTTCTATGTTTGCATAGCAACTGTTATTACCTTCTCTCCTAAATATCTACTTGCTGTTTATGTTATACTTTTTTTTTCCTCCTCTTTTCAATCAACCAACTATCGTAACACTTCCATTCAAATTATGCATATATGGTGTTTCTTTTATCTAGAGCATGTTAAGCTAAGGTTAAAAAAAATGTAAAAAGTTACTTTTAAGTCGCATTCTGCTGGGAAACATGTTTAATATGTTATTATTTTCTTAATTTTATGGAAAAAGTTACTTTATTTTGAAGTAACTCTGAGCTTATTGTTAAAATGAGTATTTTCAACTTTATCCTATACTGAGATGTCCAAGTAAACGGGATTCCCTAAGCTTTAAGCAAGAATAATGAAGTCCATCAGAAACGTAATATATATATATATATATATATTATCAACTTATGTACTCATGAGTAAAATTTTTAAGCTTAGCCAAACTTGCTCCTAGTTATGGACGTGTAATATCTTTTGAAGATTATGATGGCTTTTGCTTGTCTCCCTAAAGCCTAATACAAGATTTTACCTACTTAACTCCTGCTTGGTGGCAGTTTAGAACATATGCAATCAGGGATGTAGAGGAATACAAGAACTTTTGCGACCGTCCCAAGGACCAGCAGCCACAGCCTGAAGAAGTTATTGGGGTAAGCTTTCAGTTGCAATGATATTATAAATGCATTTAGTCAAATGTTTATTTCACTGGAGGGTCATTCTGAGATCGATGCTATTTTGGCTATCCCCTTTTAATTTGAATTTGAAGATCGCGTCTTTGACAACTTGAGTGACATTACAATTGCATATAACCATTGTTCACCTCATCATGCTCTTTGATTCCAGTTATCTGTTAATACGAAAATCAAATGCTAAGAATTTTTTTTTCTGTCTGCATTTCTCTTTAGTTTGGAAGGAAGATAGGGAAGGTGTTGGATTGAGTTTTTTCTTTGATCTGAATCGTTAGTTATTTAAGCATTGATAGCAAGGAAACATATATAGAGAGAGAGAAACAAATCTAGTTCTTAAAACGCATAACATATAAATTCATTTAATAAATTTGTCACTTTTCTCTTTTCATTGTTCCATGTTAATCCTAGTAAATTCTTAAGCTGATAAACCTTTTTACTTTATGCTGTCACGATAGGTGTTTCGTGAAAGTATGTTACTGAAAAAACAGAACAAAGAATGATATTTCCTCCTTATGTTCTATATGATATTTTTAAGTCCCAAAAATCAGACCTGTGTTTCAGAAATTGGAAATGTGGTTGCATAATTGTGCATGGAGTACAGGCCACGTAAAGATAACACAGTCGTAGCATTGAAGTTTTCTATAGATAATAACAGCTATGGAATAATAAATTTTATGAATTGCTACTATGACGACCCGAGTTCTAAAGATTTGAGTGTCACTAAGATCGTATCTTGAACACCATATTTCACTTTCAAAAAAAAAAAAACTGAAAAACTTTAAATTTTATTAAATAATATCATGAAATGATAGGAATGAGCATAACTTAAACTTTGAAACTGAAGTAGAATAAAATACTAGAAGTTTTAGCAGTCTTAATATCTAAATCAATAATCAAGTTCTTAAATCAACAAAATTAAGCTTTGTGGGTCTTTTTTCCACTTGTCACTTCACCCGCTCTCTCATGCTTTGATTGCCACGAACGATTAATTTCCTGAAAGGGGTATAAGGAGGAAGTGAGATAAAAGCTCAATAAGCATATAAGTGCATGGATTAATATTGTACAGAATTTAAGAAACTTCATACATACATATTGAGACATGAAAATCTATACTGAACATAGATGGTATGGAATTTTAATGCGTAATGCTATTATACTCTGGTCCAAATTTAGAAAATACATAAAGGACCTTATAATCAACGTTCCAAAAACTTAGCGTACACATATAATCCCATAAAAATACTTATACACTTACTTATATATTGTGAAAGTGATAAGAGAAATACTGGAATATATTTGTGACTTTAACCCTTGATACACGTACTAATGAATATAGTCCCTGTTTGACACTTATTCTCATCACATTCTCATTCTCATTTTTTTCTCTTCATTTCAACCCCCACATTCTCCAAATAAAATAATATTACACACAAATCTAAAATTTTTTTATCTCTTTTCCACCACACATTCTCCCATCAATCACTATTCAAAAAATTTTATTCTCATTTTAATGAGATTCAAACACAAGCATAATATATTTGTGCTTGTGCATATTTTACAGAGAAATAAATGTACTTGAAAAGGGAACATATGATACCTATTTATAGGGACCACCTTTGAGAGTTCTAATTTAATTGAACTTTGAATTTTAAAGTGATAAAATCCTATCATTATCTCAACCATATTTCGGTTAATAATATAAGATAATGAATTTAAAATAACAAAAAAATTATCTCCATAATTTCTAAAATTAAATAAAGTAGAGATAAAATCAAAATATTAGCTCAATAATTTAAAATTTCAATTTTAATTAAAAGAGATAAAATTGAACTATTATCTCAATTATCTTTTAACATTAAATAAAATGTAGATAAAATCAACATATTATCTAAAATGGAATTTTATTTTATTTCAATCATTTAAAATCTCAATTTAATTAAAAGAGAAAAAATTAAAATATCATCCATTAGATTTTAACCACTTGGGCTTAAGCCTAAAAGGAAAAATAGATCATAAGCCGTGGGCTATCATTTCACATAATGGGCTTCTATGCAACTGATTAGGCTAAAATAGTAATCATATCTATTTTTTATAACTGGCCAATCCTAAGTTAATAAAATTAGGTCATAGGTATGGGTATTACAATCTACCTTCCTAACAATAAATTTCGTACTCAAAATTTATCTCGAAATTCGTCGAAGAATTGTGGGTATTTAGCTCGCATCTCTACCTCTCTCTCCCAAGTTCCTCTTCGAAGTGATTGCGCCATTGTACTTTTACTAAGAGGATTACCTTATTCCTGAACGCTTGAAATTTCCGATTAATGATCCTACCTCTCTCTCCCAAGTTCCTCTTTTAAGCATCAACACATGGAAGACGTCGTGCATAGTAGAAAGTTCTGGAGGTAAAGCCAATTGATACGTGATATTTCCAATACATTGCAAGATTTAAAACGGGCTATGAACCTTGGTCGCAACTTTCCAAAACGTAACACTCCTTTAATGGGTGCAATCTTGAGAAATACTTTGTTACCTACTGAAAATGCATTTCCTTCATTCTCTTATCAGCATAGCTCTTTTGTCTATCCTGGATAATTTTCATACTAGCTCGAATTTTCTCAATAGCCTGCACTATGTGTTCAATGATCTTTGGTACCATGTTAGTAAAGACATGATAGCTGTTGTTGTATGCGAACTCAATCAAGGGTAAATGTTTCTCCCAATGTTCTCTAAACTCTAGGACTCATGTTCGAAGCATATCTTCCAGTGTTCAAATCGTTCGCTCAGATTGCCCATCTATCTAAGGGTGAAAAGTCTTACTACTAAATTTTAGTTTAGTTCCCATAACTCGGTGTAAACCTTTCCAAAAGTTCGATGCGAATATTGGATCTCTATTTGATACGATTGAAATGGGCACACCATGCAACCTTACTATCTTATTCACATATAACTGCGCCAACTGGTCCATTGAGAATGTCATCCGAACCGACAAGAAATGAGCCGGTTTGTTCAGTCGATCCACAATGACCCAAATAACCTCATTACCCTTGTTGACTTTGGAAAACCGATTACAAAGTCTATCGTGACATTCTCCCACTTCCATTTCGGAACTTCTAACGGTTCAAGCAACCCTGACGGTCGCTGGTGTTTAGCCTTCACTTGTTGAGATACTAAACATCTTTCGACATATTCAGCTATATCTCTCTTCATGCATTTTCACCAAAATACCGCTATAAGGTCTCGGTACATCTTTCTACCTCTTGGATGTACTGAATAAGGAGTGGAGTAAACCTCCTCTAATATCTCATTTTTCAAATCCTCGAAGTTGAGCACACATAAGCGTCCTTCATAATACAGAGTCTTGTCCTTATACATGGTGAAATCTTTTCCCTTCTCCTTATCAATCTCTGACTTAATAAATTCAAATGACTGATCGGCTTTCTGATGGTCTTTAATCCTGTCACGGAGTATTTATCGAATTTGAAAGTGCTGCCATCCAAGCAATAGCACTGGTGGTGTTGTGACCACTTCAAGATTTAATCTCTCGAACTCCTTCCATAATGGCTCTTGCATGGTCAAAGCCGCCACTTGACTTGTCACTTTACGACTCAAGGCGTCTCCTACAACATTTTCCTTACCAACTCAAACCATCTCCTCTACCTCATATTCAACTCTTTCTGAGTGAAGATGTATTGAGACTCTTGTAGTCTATATAAATGTCACACTTACCTCCATAAAGGTAATGCATCCAAATTTTTAGTGCATGGACTACCGCAACAAGTTCTAAGTCGTGCTTGGGGTAGTTTTGCTCATGTGACTTCAATTGTCTTGATGCGTAAGCAACCACTTTACTGTGCTGCATCAAGACACGTCCTATTCCCTGCTTAGAGGTATCACAGTAAATCACAAAACCCTTTGATCTTTTAGGTATAGTTAATACTAATGCATTCACTAGCTTCTGCTTCAGTTCCTCAACCATGCTCACATTTCTCGTCCAATCAAATCTTGCACCTTTACACGTTAATTGTGTCAGCAATCCTGATATTTTGGAGAATCCTTCAATAAATTTCTCCTACATTGGTTGGCCTCGACCAATTTAACACTGCTTCCACTTTGCTTGGATCAACCTCTATGCATCGAGCTGTGACAATATGTCCAATGAATGCTAGTCGTTTCAACCAAAACCTATGTTTCTTGAACTTGACATAAAGTTTCTCCGTCAGGACTCCCAGTACTATCCTTAAGTGCTCTTCATGCTTTTCGTTACTTCTTGAGTAGATCAGGATATCATTGATGAACATAATAACAAACCGATCAAGGCACTCGTGGAAGACACGATTCATCAAATCTATAAAGACTCCAAGAGCGTTAGTTAGGCCAAATGGCATGACTAAGAACTCGTAATAGCCATATTGAGTTCTGAAGGTTGTCTTCAAGATGTTACCCGCCTTGATTCTTAATTGATGGTAACTAGATCTCAGGTTCAATTCCCTATAATCAATGTACATTCTCATCAAGTCATCTTTCTTAAGAAATAGCATCAAGATAAGTCTTTTTCAAACAATTCTTCTATCTGTACTTTTAGTTCCTGTAACTCTTTCGGTCCCATTCTATAAAGAGCCTTAGAGATTGATGTAAAGCCTGGAGTGAGATCGATTGTGAACTCTACCTCCCGTTCAGCGGCATGCCAGACAATTCTTCAAGAAAAACTTTTGGATATTCCCCGTACCGCCCTAACATCATTAACTGTCAATTCATTGTTTTTCTCCTATTTGGTCATCGACATCAGGAATCCTAAACTACCTTTCAATTGTAAGATCCATCGAGCTTTCATCACAGAAATGACGCGGGGTAAGGGTCTATTCCTAGTTATAGATAAGCGAATTTCCTTTCCTCTTGGTCATAGAAAGACCACTTTTTTCTCAAAGTAAATAATTTTCGCGTAGTTCTTGGATAGCCAATCCATCCTAAGAATCACATCAAATTCGTTCGCGTCTATCACATACAACTCCATTTCCAATGATCGACAATCAATTTCTATCCTTTCCTTTTTAACGATGTGATCAGTGTTCAACATATTCCCTGAGGAGATAAGACACTAATAAGGAAAACATGTAGATTCAACCATTATGCCCTGTTTATGTTTGAACTTAAGAGATATAAAGGAGTGGGTTGCACAAAATCTATCAATACATAGGCTAGTAAGTCAGATATGAGGACATTACCTGCCAAAACATTTCGATTCTAATCCTCTTCCTACAATGCTAGCGCAAAGATCCTTGCTTGCCCTCGGGTACATATCCCTGCCTCTGTTGTGCATTGCCCTGTTTCTGTTATGTATTCTTTTATTTATTTTGGACATTCTCATGTTTCTGTTGTCCGTTCCCAAGATGTTTGTTCTTAGAGCAAAATATGATTATGTATCGTTCTCCACATCGGAAACATACATTTGTCTCCAGAAGACAAGCTCCACCACTTTCGTTTCTCCGACTACCTATACTGCTGCTTATTCTCTCCTCTAGTACGCCTTCTGAAATTTGCCAATTTTGCTAAAAACCTCATTGTAAGTACCCAGTTCAAGCACTGTCATAGCATGTCTCAAATCATCCTTTAAATCATGTTAGAAACATCTTGCCTTCTTCTCTGTGTCCGCAAAAGTAGGGACATAACAAGACAAGTTTTCAAACTTTTGCTCATATTCAGTCAATGACATTGAGCCCTGTGTCAACCTGCGAAACTCAGCTTCCTTCAATTTCGGACACTCATAGGGTAGTACTTCAAGAAAAATTCGTTGATCTCGTTCAATGTTCAGGCATTATCACGGACCCTTGACCTTGCGGTGGAGTCCCACTAGTGTGTAGCACCTTTGGCATCATAAATGTTGCACATATAATCCTTATGGGATCCTGGCAGTCAATGAGTTTAAAAATCCACTCTATACTTACCAGCCCGTCCTCTATTTCCAAGGGGTCTGTACTGCCACCAAAAGTCAGTGGATGTTGTTTCCTGAATTGCTCTACAACCGCAGCAATGGTTCTAGTGTCTGCTACCTCTTCTAGAGGAGGCTGAGGTTGTGGTTTCACGGGTGGTGTCGGCTGCCGAGGAGGTGGTGGCGCTAGTGTCTTAGCTTAGGTAAATGTTCGCATCATATCGAGAAATTGTTGGGCAAATTGTGGGTTGATCGCAATAGGTTGAGGTTCTGTTGGTTGTTGGGGTTGGTGGAGTTTGTTTATTTCTATTGTTTGTTCTTTTACCTCGGGGTGTCATAGCCTTAAATCAAACATAATTAAGGAAATTAAAGACTTTCCTAATCTAGAAATTTCCCAAATTAGAAGTTTCTAACTGTATAAGTTCCTCAAAGTAAGATTTTACTTAAATTTAGAGTGAGTTTGTCGTTTGTAATATTGCTTTCGTTTTGTTGATTTGTATAATGTACAACTAAGAGGCTTCCAGATGAGGATGGACCGGCTAAATCCCAAGCTTACCTTAGACAGTTTAGATCTTTTTGACATAACATTTCAATTTTAAGAACACGAAAAAAAAACTACTCAAATAATATGTAGGAACGGAAGTATTTGAAAGTATATATCTTCTCGATTGGGTAATTCTTACTTAGCACATCCTAACTTAAAAGGTTTTCTCGAAATAATAATTATTCTTATGTTATTTCCATATAAATCTTTCATACTTAACATGCATCCCTAAAATTACATTATATGTCTTACATTTCATAAAAAAATCATGCTTCACATGATTAGCAGGATTCATAAATAATATGGCATTTAAAATGGCAAATATGAATGAATAAAAATAAAAACGTATAATTAGAATATACCTGATTCGAGGAATCATGACATGGAAAATGGCGTAGCGAGGCAATGACGTAAAACCATTTAATTCTTATTTCAAGAATAATGACTCATTTCTTAAAAATCATTATCTTCGCACTTATTGATTAAAAAAATAAATTTTGGGCCATTTAAATAATAACAATTAATCTACTTAACATCATACTAAAATTTTTTTAATAAAGGCCCAACTCATTAACTAATACATTTGAAAAAATATAAAATAATGAATAACCATTACTGCACACTGTTCACATGAACAGTAACGTTACCGTCCACGTGGTGTATTTATTTATTTTTTTTTTTGGGAAAGATATGAACTTTTAAAAAAATAATTTGCAAAGTCTACTGAACCGATTAAAACTCGAGCTCTGATATTCTGGCCACCCGAGTTCTAAAGATTCGAGTGTCACTAACTTGAACACCATATTTCACTTTCAAAAAGAACCTTGAAATTTTATTAAATAACATCATGAAATGATAAGAGTGAGCATAAATTAAAATTTGACACTGAAGTAGAATGTAATACTAGAAGTTTTAATGGAGTTTTAGCAGTCTTAACGTCTAAATTGATAACCAAGTTCTTAAATCAATAAAAGTAAGCTTTGTGGGTCTCTTTTCACTTGCCACTTCGCCATTGATTGTTACGAACCATTAATTTCGTGAAATAGGTACGAGGGGGTGAGATAAAATCTCATTAAGCATACAAGTACATGGATTAATATTATACAGAATTTAAGGAACTTCATACATGCATACATGGTGAGACATGGAAATCTATATCGAAAATAGGTGGTATGAAATTTTAATGCATAGTGTTACTATACTCCAGTCCAAACTTAGAAAATATGTAAAGGACCTTATCATCAATGTTCCAAAAACCTAACGTACACATATAATCCCATAAAAATACTTAATACACTTATATTTTGTGAAAGTGATAGGAGAAATACTAGAATATATTTGGGACTTCAACCCCTAATGAATATAGTATATTTGTTTGTGTGTTCACAGATAAATGAATGTACTGAAAAGGGAACATATGTGGTTAAATAAGATTTTAACCACTTGAGCTTAATCCCAAAAGGAAAAATAAAACAAAAGGTGTGGGCTATCATTTCATATAATGGGTTTTCATGTAACTGACCGGCTAAAATATTAATCATGTCTATTTTTATAACGGGTTAAACCTAAATTAATAAAATTAGGCCATAGGTACGGATATTACGGCTACTTTAATGACAGCAATTATATTAAGCCCTTGTTTGAGCCCCATTCTTTAAATATTCATTTTTTTTCCAAATTTATTTTCGACCATACATTTTTACAATAAAATAAATTTACATGTAAACCTAGAATTTTTCCTTACTTTTTAATTACACATTATCCAAATAATCACTATTACAAATTCTATTTACCCAAAAAAATGGAGCTCAAACAAACTCTCACGTCTTTTTTATCTGAGGCAACATAGGTCTAAAATTTAAAAAGTGTGGCCACCCCACAAAGATCTGTTCTGTGTTTACTGAATTGGAATATTGGGCAGCAAATTTTATGCTATACAGACCCCAGCTAATAGGGGGGCGCCACGTGCGCCTCTGGATTGACAGGGCCCATGTGGCCCTGTCATAGTAGCTTAATTCTGGTATGAGAAGGTAAGGAGATCTGCTGATCTGGTAACAGTCCAGATACTTGATGTTTCTTACCCAGCTTGGTGAAATTTTATTATCTGAGACACAAGTGATAGATTTTTTTCATCTGCTAGTACTTTCAGTCGTGTTTCGTGGGCAGCATTTGAATATGACCACATAAAACTGTTGGCCAAGGTCATATACTAATATTTCTGTTGATTGTGCTTGGTACTTCAGACATTGTTCAAGTGTTAATTTCTGCAACTTTCACATGCAGGACATTTCTGAGCATTTGACCACCATATATCTGAAACGCTGTGAAAGAGGGAAGCGCTGTTTATATGAAGGTTCAACTCCACCAGAAGGATTTCCTAATACATGGGTATGCCTCTCGATCCAGTTGCTGCTCTCTCGTCAATATTTCCTCCAATATCTATCTTGTTAAACATAGCCAAAACTTTATTTTCTTTATGATACCACATAAAATGGCGTATTATTCTATTCTCTCTATAGAAGATTCATGTTTTACATATTGCAGAATGGTGCATCATACTGTACCTCAGAACTGGCCGTCTTGAAAAACAATGAGATACAGACATGGGATAGAGGCTATGATGATGATGGAAATCAAGTTAGTGCTGATGCCTTCTTTTATCCGCTTTCTTTTTAAAATATGAAATATTATATAGTTTATTTGAAGAATTGCAGATTTTCTTGAGATTGTTTACAATCCTTGCGTAACAGTAAACTTCTTCTTTCCAACTTTTCCTCTTATTACAGATTTGGGGCGGAAAGGGAGGTCCATACGAGTTCAAACCTGCTCCTGCCTCTAGTTTTAATGATATGTTATCTCCTTTTAAAACTTCTCTCAGTGCATAGAGAAAAGAATGGAGGGTCCGTTTGCCCTTCAAGACTTGTTGCTTCTCAGACTATATATAAATACGCATACTTGCCGCAATATTTGTACAGGAGTTATGTTTTATGATGACATCTTAAACTAGACTTTACGAGGTTTGTTGGAATCAAGTTATTCTAGTCATTTTGGTTAGTATATATGGAAATAAGTTTCATTTGACCGAAGAAATGACTCGTTTAGACGAATTGTCAATCTTTTCTATACTGAAAATGAAAACTTGATCATGGAGAAGAATGAGTGGAGAAATTAAGCCTTGTTATCACGAAATTTGAAGTTGGTATATTGGCTGTATTATGTTCATACAATAATCAACCTGTGATAGTTGATGCTGATATGGATTTAGAAACACGTTGAACCACCCGTACGATTTGTCTCTAGTTGGAGAAAATCATAAATACCTGTAATAAAAATAAAAATTCATTTTATGCCATTATTCGTTTTTATATATTGAAGTTACTACACCACCCAAAAAGAACACTAAAATTACTGCATTAGAACGTTCCCTCTCTTGAGTTGTAACTGAAAGAAGGGATGACAAACATTACGGAAGAAATTAATTACATTGCTGGGAAATTCAAATTCAAACTGAAATTGAAATCTACAAAACTAATAACAGTGAGAATATGAAGGCTCATCATCTTCAATAGAGAATAACATAGCTTGAAGGAGACATTCTAACCTGCGGACTATTCTTTTTTTGATTCGTCCAATTATTGGATAGAATGTCTTTGTGCCAAATTTTTTCTAACTAACAAGGTAGTTATTGCGAGATGTGCAATGCTTTCAAGAATTACTTCGTGAAGAATATCTCCCTACGTAAAATACTGATATTGCTTCGAAGTATGTATTTTTATATTTCTATTTTGGTGCAATCGAACACACTGAATTTTATTAGAGCATGATTTCATCCAATAGCAATGTAATAATAAAGAGATGTAAGATGAATAATTTTTTGATCATTAAAACCTGCTGTTCATAAACGTTAGAAAAAGGAAGAAGGTGTGGTTGCTTGTTATATATGAAGATTTGATTGCATGTTGCTTCTGTAAAATACGGATAGTTGTGATTAGTGTAGATTTTGCATTTCCACAAATATAAACACCATTTCGTGTGTGTGATTTATCCGCCTGCATTCTACTAGATGTTAGATTTTGTTGGATGGGATTTAGAATTTGAGAATATCCAATGACGAGCTATGTAGAATGCATTATGCATAACAAGTAGGAGAAAGTGGATAGTTGATTAATTTCTAGAAACCCCATCAAGTACTTATTTGGAAAAATTATCTCGCTTAAGTATATGACATTGATTAATTAACTGTATAATTTCTCAAATACTTTTACTGTACTTCTTAGGTATCTACTTCAATTGAATTCAATTATCAAGTGTCAAACGAGAATTATATGGAGACATAAGCTGGATGCATCATCCCACTTGGTGATCTTACACAAGGGAAAGTCGACAATTATCGATGCCGTGATGAAATATGTTTTCTTCTACCAAAGAGGCGGTCAGTAGGTCCAAGAAGACGAGGAGGTGCATGAGGGTGGAGTTATACCTGTTGGAAAGTCGAATATGTTATATGATTTGTATTGATAGAAAATTTTGGTTTTTCTATGAGTGAATTGCCTATTTAGTCACTGAACTTTCAGCTATGCACGCAAGGGGTCACTGAACTTCAAAATAACGCAACTAGTCACTGAACTTTACAATTCATCATCCCAGAAGTCACTAAGCAAACAGCCGTTTATAATGGACGGAATTTCCACGTGGCAGCTGACGTGGCGAGGCGAAAGTTCAGTGACCCCATGCGTGCATGACCGAAAGTTCAGTGACTAAATAGCCAATTCACTCCTAATAAACTATAAACCCATCTCTCTCTCTCTCTTTCTCTCTCTCTCTCTCTCTCTCTCTTCCAATTTCTCCCCGAAGCCAAATCTTGTTAAGTCACCATGTGAGACCAATTATTAAAGAGTAAAGCTATATGACAACCAGAGAAGAATTACACCAAATCATTCATTTCATTATTTATATACTTCGTACAACCGTTGGGATAACATAACTAATTTCTGTGAGCACTTCAAAAACCACAAAACATATTTCTGCGCAAGCGGAGGTGTCGTTGAGGTACGAATAATTCTATTTTTTTTTAAAATAGTTTATATAGTTGTCTTATATCCATTTTTGCATTTGCAGGAGGATCGAGCGCTTGGAGACAGTTGACAAAGTTTGAGTTTCAAGTCGGGCTTTGGGGGGGTTGAATGCAGCCAGTTCTTGGATTCAATGGGGTCTACAGTGTAGTTATTTTGTACACCAATGTTTAGTGTATAAAGTTTAGTGATGCTAGATGATTTGAAGTTTTTGTTAGTGTGGTTAGTACAGATCAGTTTTTTGGATGTGCACACTAACTTTTGTTTTGTAGTCTCTGAAGTGCTTACAGAAATATGTTTTGTGGTTTCTGAAGTGCTCACAGAAATTAGTTTTGTTATCCCAGCGGTTGTACGAAGTATATAAATAATGAAATGAATAATTTGGTGTAATTCTTCTCTGGTTGTCATATAGCTTTACTCTTTAATAGTTGGTCTCACATGGTGACTTAATAGTATTTGGCTTGGGGGAGAAATTGGGAGAAAGAGAGATGGGTTTATAGTTTATTAGGAGTGAATTGCCTATTTAGTCACTAAAATTTCGGCATGCACGCAGGGGGTCATTGAACTTTCAACCATACACGCAAGGGGTCACTGAACTTTCGTCCACGTCATTGACCCTCGCCACGTCAGCTGCCACATGGAAATTCCGTCCAATTTATAAACGGCCGTTTGCTCAGTGTCTCCTGGGATGATGAATTGTAAAGTTCAGTTACTAGTTGTGTTATTTTGAAAGTTCAATAACCCCTTGCGTGCATGGTTGAAAGTTCAGTGACTAAATAGGCAATCACTCGTTTTCCTATTGTAGTCCTTAATTATGGTGATTGCCTTGTATAGAAAGTTTGATTTTTGTATATATGTTTTGCACTGTAACATTAATGAATTAATTGATTCCAGCAGATTTCTTCTTCTTCTATTCATCTTTTTATGGTATCAGAGCGAGGTTGCAACCACGATTCGTTGCTGCACTCTAATCCCTCATGCAGGACCTTCCACAATTCTCTCAAAGCAATGTTCCTTGCATCTTCTAAATTCAGCTAGATATTGCTTATCTTTGACAAGAGCAGCTCTCTGTCTCTTCTTATTACACCAAATTGAAGGGTTTATTGGATGAATTGGCTTCTTATTCAGACACCGTACATGGAGCTCAGGCAGATCAACAGAAATTGATGTAATTTTTAATGGGTTTAAATGAAACTTATATTGCAATTCGTGGACAAATTCTTCTGATGAATCCTCTCTCTTCAGTCCGCCAAACCTATTCTTTAGTTTCTCAAGAAGAGAAACAAAGACTCCTTAGTACCACACAAACCCAACCGACCTTGGTGGGAGCGCTGCTATTGTGGTGCGTCACAACAATGGTGGAAAAATGCAATTTTCGGCAGGTGCAGATCGCTAGGAGTTCATTCATCTTAAGTACCAAACGTCCGATCAGACCGTTCTTCTTCTACACATGGAGAGAGACGCTATGATCAAGATCGACGTCGTTCTAGATCAGGAAGGGGACGACCTCAGTGCACTTACTGTGGAAAGATGGGCCATTGGATCCAACAGTGTTTTCAATTACATGGATATCCACCGGGTCGTCCCAAGACAAGAATGAATTTAGGACAAAATCCAAATCTGCATAAGGGTTTTCTGTGGCTAACTAGGTATTAGAGGTGTCACACAACGATGAAGGGAAACCTGTAGTTTCATTATCAGAAGCCCAACTCAAGCAACCTTTATCACTTCTTAACAATCACGACGAGGTTTCTAGTTCCAAAGCAAATGCGGTCACCAAGCCAGGTTTGTATAAAATCACTTCCCGCAATTGGATTATTGACAGTGGGGTGACTGATCACATTGTTTCATCATCTATATTGTTGTACAAAGAAAAAATTGCTCTTTACCACCCGTACTGTTGCCAAGTGGAGAAAAGGCGAATATTGTTGCCAAATGGTCTTTGCCTTTAAATTCCGTCTATTATTTACATGATGTATTATCTGTGCCTACATTCAAAGTTGATTTGATGTCAGTTAGTCGTTTGACAAGAGATCTAAATTATTCAGTGACCTTTTTCCCTTATTGGTGTATTTTGTAGGATCTGGATACGAGGAGGACGATTGGTTTGGGTAGACAACATGACGGACTATACTATCTAGTGTCACTGGCAACGAAGAAATCTTCCATCAAACCTTCCTCAAACATAAACTGACCAGCCTGCAACATCACCATTTTTATCCACCGACCACTAGCATAGTCGCTTAGGCTATGTCTCGCCCTCTCGTTTAAGTTTCATTGCTAGGAATTTTTTAAATTTTTCCGTTGAGTCGAATAATGCTTGCCATATTTGTCCTTTGGCTAAGCAGAGTCGTTTACCTTTCGGTACTAGTACTATTTCCTCTACAAAATCATTTGATATTATACATTGTGATATTTGGGGTCATTATCGACACCCTTCTCTTTCTAGTGCTAATTACTTTCTTATCATTGTTGATGATTATACACGTTTCACATGGATATTTTTAATGCGTCACAAGAATGAAGCACAATTACTTTTAAAATGCTTCTTCAACTATGTACTTACTCAATTTGAAACTCGCATCAAAACTCTTCGAAGTGACAATGGTGGGGAGTTTATCTCACTCCGTTCCTTTTTCCACGATAATGGTGTCATTTTTTAACATTCTTGTGTTTACACCCCTCAACAAAATGGGGTTGTGGAACGCAAACATTGTCATATTCTACAGGTGGCACGTGCTCTGAAATTTCATGCTCAGCTCCCCTCACAATTTTGGGGAGAATGTGCTCTTACTACTATCTACATCATTAAT